GGCCACGGGCTGCTTCAGGGATGTGGTCTGCTTCCCGTTGACAAGGAGCAGCTTTGGGAATGGTCTCGGGCTTACGGCACGCTGGGGCCCTGCATGGAGCAAGTCGTTGTTCAGCAGCCTGTCGTATTCTGCTGGTCTGGGGACTCGTAACGGACTTGGATCAGTGGCCTGCTGTGTGGTTTGGCAACGTCAGGCGTGTGCCTTTTCACTTGCTGACCTTGGGCTTGGCGGCCTCAGCAGCCAGCTGAGTGACGAGAAGCCTCCAGCTTCAGTGGGCCGAGCTGAAGTCCACGGTGGAGGGGCTTTCACCCAGCCCCTGCAGCTGGCATTTTGAACTTGGCCTTCCATCCTCCCAAACTGTAGGAGGATAAACTGTTTGTTCCAGCATCCCCTCTGTGGTACCTTCCTATTAGAGCAGCACACAGTAACCAGAGCAGTAACCCCCGGAGGCAGCTGTGCTCTGTCGTCCAGGGGCACTGAGCAGAATCGACTCCACAGCAGTGGGTTTGGGTTTGGGGTTTTCAGGCCTCACTGTCTTGTTAGCTGACATTTTGCACTGACGACAACAGTGTACAAAGTCTGTCTGGCGCGGTGTCCTGGTGTCCTCCGTGTCCAGCTCCCGGCCCCTCCGGGCTGTTGTTGGTGTTCTGAGCCTCCCTGGGAGATGCAGGTGGTAAATGCCCTCAGCTGCTCTCTGAAAGATTAGGGGTTTGAATCCACACAGAGGTATCCGTGATCTTCTGAAAACCCAGCCGCTGAAAGCCCCGCGGAGCCCAGCCCGACTGTGTTCCCCCGGGGTGCCCCTGAGCCGGGCTTCCTTTCCCTGTCCTGGGAGCTCTGTGTCACTGGTGCGACAGCCGTGTGCTCAGGGATGCCCTGTGCTCAGCCGCCTCTCTCCTTCCAGGCTGCAGAGCCTTCAGTTACACCAGGAGCTGGGCCTCGCGCATTGCAGCTCCAGCACAGACCTGAACCAGGGCCGGGGCCGCCGGCGCGTCTGGCAGCAGAAGCTCAACGCCCAGATCCAGCAGGCCTCTCTGCAGCTGCTCGTCGACACCTTCAGGTGGGCCGGGCGCTGGGCCGCACTGTTATCACAGCAGGGTCCCCAAGTCTCGGTGAACATGAGGCGGCTCTGCCCCCGGTCAGCGGCCCTTATGGTCATTAAAACCAGCAGCTTCAGCCCGTGGGCATTTCTGTTGTTTGGCTGCAAGCTGAGCTACAGGGGCGAGTCCAACTCAGGCCCAAAGTCTCTATCTGGCAGCAGTCCTGGTCCTTTTTATATTTTTGAACTGTGTTCCACATTTTTCTGCCCTCTCTCTCCAGGATCACCAATTTTCATCCCTTTCTGAGTAGTTGGCATCGATAGCAGGCTTTGTAAAATTGCACCCAAATCCTAATGAAAAGTTAAAAGAAAAGCAAGGAAGGAAAAGAAAAAACAAACCACACAGCGGGTTTATTTGTTCTTCCCACTTCAGCATGCACTGTGCCAGCTAATAACCCTTCTCAAGCAGCCCTGCTGGCACAGTGGTTCAGCGCTTGACCGCTAACTGAAAGGCTGGCGGTTTGAACCCACCTAGCAAGTCTGTGGGTGAGAGACCTGGTGATCAGGGCCCGTAAAGATGACAGCCTGGAAAACCCCACGGGCAGTTCCCCTCCGAACGTGGGGGTGCTGACTCAGAATCCAGTCATAGACCGGGAGACCCCATGGGGCACTTCCTGTCTGTCACGTGGGGTCGCCATGAGTCAGAATCGCCTCTAACACCCACAGCCGCACGCCCCCGCCCCCCGCACATCCTCACCTCTGGCCGCGCTGTCTCAGGTGGGCCTGTGGGGAGGAGAGTGTTCCCAGGGGCTTGTCTGTGTGGCGTGTGCTGGCACTGACGGTGCAGGGGACATGGATGGAGGGAACGTGAGCTAGAGGCAGCCGTGGAGGTCGCTGGGAGAATCCCTACTTTCTTAGAAAGACCCGGGTTCGATCCCCGGCCGGTGCCCCTCCTGCACAGCCGTCACCCGTCTGCCAATGGAGGCTTGTGTCACGCCATGATGCTGACGGATTTCAAATATTCCAGATCAGGACAAAGCACAAAGGCCTGGCCGTCGACTTCCAGTGTGAGCCACTGGAAACTGGATTACAGCAGCCCAGTGACAGCCGACCGCGGGCTGGCACAGGACCGGGCGTTTTGTCCCCTTGTTCGTGGGGTCGTGAGTTGGGTTCAACTCGAGGGCAGCAGACAAAAACCCCCAGGAGATAATGAAGCCCCTGGGAGCTGCCAGGAGGCAGGGCTCTCTGCTGTCTCCTGTACCTGGTATTTGAGGCACTTTCCAGGGTCTGAGCTAGAAAAAGCTACAGAGACGAGAAAACTTGACTTTAGTGGCCTCTGGGAGGCACAGACGGTTTTTGCTCGACTGTTAACTGAAAGGTTGGTGCTTTGAACCCGCCCAGTAGCGCAGAGGGAGAAAGACCTGGCAGTCTGCTTCCATAAAGGTTACAGCCAAGAGACCCCTGTGGAGCGGTTCTGCTCTGAAGCACAAGGGGTGCCAGCAGTCGGAACGCGCTCGGTGGGCTCGGTCTGTGGACGGCATTCAGCAGGCCGCCGTCGCCTGGAGCACGTACGGGGCAGGTGCTGCGCAAGCCGGCTTGTCAGCCTCGGGCACAGGCGTTGCCAGGTCACTTTCCTCTTGGAGGGGGTGGGTGCAGCCTTTCTTTCTTCCGACTGTTCTCCGCCTCTTTCTCTTGCAGCTCTCCTTCCCTGCTGCTCTCTCATGGGCTCCTGTAGCTGAGGAAGGCGGCCCCTCGGGTAGAACCCACGGGTGGCCCGCGGCCAGACCCTGGCTGTCCAGTAGGGCAGTTCCACTGTGCAGGCTCGGGCACCCAGCTCACTGACTTGACAAGACTCAGCCTGCCTGTCCCAAAGCCCAAATCGGAAAGGCATTCTTTAGGTGCATTTATTTATATAAAGCAAGTAATGTATCAGGAAAAGCAGTGGGGTGTCTATTACAGATGGGTTACGTTGTCTCTTCACTCAGAGCCTGGCTCAGGGTCTTCCTTTTGCTCCTTGAAGAAGAAATATTTTACAATCAAGGCTTTCTTTCTTTTCTTTTTTTTTTTTTTTAATTAATAAGCTTAACATGTTGATAAAAGCAGAAAATGTCAACAACAACAACAACAACAACAAGATAAATGGATTTCTAATAATAGAACAATGAACTGGGGGGACAAAAATCCAGGTTTCCTGCTTGCCTCCAGGCAGCCCAAGCGGGTCGTTCTGTTCAGGTGTTTCTCCTCCGTCAGTAACCGTTTCTTCTCACCTGCACATCTAGCTGAGCTTACAACAGTGGGGTCTGTGAACAGCTTGGTCTTGAGACAAGAGCATTAAAAAAGAAACACAAACCCCAGCCAACAGTGCACTGCATCACTGAAGGTTGTGGAAGGTAGCTGCAGATGGCACCCCACTGTGCCTCTGAGTCAGCGCCCCTTCAGAGGCTTGTCCTCCACCTCCTTCTGTGTCGCAAACCACGTGTCCTGGTGCCACAGCGGGATCATACATGTAGACTGATCTTCCACAAGGGCTGCTAATGGAGTAGTTATTTCTCAAGCATGATTACCTGTGTACTTTATTTTTAATATCCCACTGCTCTTCTCTGAACACGTCAATGAAAGTGATAAGAATACAGAAAGCAGAAAATGGGATTACAGATCACAGAGCTCTATTCTCCAAGACGAAATGTGCTTCCTGGTAGAGGGAAGGGGATCTTGCACATAGTACTTACTGACTGTCATGTGGTCACTGAGGTTGTGTTCACACTTAGGCTCTGGGTCTGGGAGCTCACAGGCTAAAATCCCTGTGGGTTTACAGATGAGGAACACAGGCACCAGGAGGGGAAGTGACTTCAGGCTGGTGGCCGAGCTGGGTCAGCACATGGCAGTCCCCTTGGTGCCCGATCTCTGCCTGCGGCACTGGCCTGCATGCAATTGTGTTTGACAGTAAATAAGAACGCTTGTTTAATTTGCATCAAGAGCTGGGGGATTGGAGTAGATGTCGGTGGCACCCCAAGGCACGTAATGTAGGGGACAGCTTGAGCACAAAACGTCCACCGTGTCATTTTGGGGTCACAATTCAGAGTGTCAGTGTTGTTCCAGGCCCACTGTGACATGTCAGTCCTGTCCTTACTAATGTTGCTGTCCTCAGACTGTCTGTTCTCCTTGTCAGGGAAGTGAGGAATCACTTAAACTACGAACACAGAGTATTTAATAGTGAAGAATTCCTCAAAACGAGGGCTCCCGGCGATCAGCAGTTCTATAAGCAGGTAAGAGGAGTGGGGCTGTGTGTGCACATCCAATCCTGTGTCTGCCCCGTCCACAGTCTTTAACGCAACGGTCAGCGACGCTGGTTCCGTTCTTCACGCTGTGCCGGCGTTCCCGGCATCCTGTACTTGTGTTTCCATCCGCCCCATCTGTGGTCTGTCAGCGACGCTGGTTCCGTTCTTCACAACCTCCGGCATTCCGTACTGATTGTTTCTGTCCCACTGACTTAATCCCCCTGCCCTCAGCTCTCTTGTCTTTGCTTTAAAATAGGTGTGGATCCTTCGGTCTCATACAAACACTTAAAGGAACGCAGTCCTCATGGGTGACGCCTTGACTTTCTGAGCTCAGCTGTTAATTAGTTTAAAGGTGACTCGAGGGTGGGTTTGCCTGCCCTGGACATGTCACATCAGTGAGACCATGTACATGTATGTGTGTGTGTGTGTGTGTACATAGGGCAGTACACGGTGCCCTGTGTCTGACAGTGTTGGTGCAGTGTCAGGTGGAATTGTGGGTCAGGACTCTGTCTCTCTTTTTGGCTGCGTAATATCCCATTGTAAGCATGGATTGTGCCAAGCTTATCCATTTGTCTGTTGATGAACACTTGGGTGGTTTCCCATCTCTTATATTTTTAATCAGCTTTTAAAATGACAATTTATGCACAACACAATGCATCTGTTGTAAGTGTGTAGTCTGATGGATTTTGGCCCACCTGCATACCTGTGGAACCACCTCCTGGGTCTGGTTATAGAACATTTCTGGCATCCCGGACAGTTCCTCAGCCTTCCTGGTCCATCCCACCACCTGTCCACGGCCCATTTGGGTTTCCCATCCAGAATCGCTCGGTCTGTGCCCTGGGTCTCTCTTCTACCCCTGCCCATGCTGCATTTGAGTTTGACCCGTGTCACTGTGCTTTTAGGAGCTTTGGTGGTGTAGTGCCTAAGGCACTTGATTGCTAACCAGAAGGCTGGCGGTTCAAACCCACCAGCCATTCCTTGGAAGGAAGGTTGGGCAATCTACTCCTGTAGTGATACCGCCTCGGAAACCCCAGGAGGGGTCGCTATGAGTCGGGTCCGACTCCACGGCAGTGGTTTTGGTTTGGTTGGCTGCGCTTTCCAGCACGTTGGTGTTTTGATTGCTGTTTACCTGTTGATACGCGTCTGGCCTGTCTTCTGAGCACCCCTGGATGGATTTGAACCGCTGACCTTTGGGTGAGGGGCTTAGTGCTCAGCTCTGTGCACTGCCCACGGACTCCTTGTGAGATTCAGTCAGGACCCAGTTCCTTCAGGCTGGCTGGTGAGGTGAGGGAGACAGCCGTAGCCAAGTAGGATCAGTAAGAAGGCACTCATCTGTAGGGGCCTCTGCCTGAAGGAGCCAGGTGCTGGTCCGTGGTCTGAGCCGGTCAGTGAAGACGGCTCAGCAGGGGCCGGCTGAAGGAGCCGATGGCTCGGCGTCAGGAGGTCTCCTTGTCTGTTTCAGGTTTTAGACACCTACATGTTCCACTCTTTCCTGAAGGCTCGGCTCAGCAGGAGGATGGACGCCTTTACGCAAATGGAGCTCAGCATGCAGTCAGAGGAGGACAGGTGCTCTGTGGCTCGGGGTGCAGGCTCCTGGGGCCCAGCTGCTCAGGGAGCACGGTTTGTTGGGAGGGAACGTGAGAATAAATTCAAGCAGAGGACTCTTACATGTGGGAATTCATCATGGGTGGGGAACATGTAATCGAGCTTCTCTCTGTGTACACACACACACACACACACACGTACATATGTGTACACACATGCTCTGTGCACACACATGTAGATATGTGTACACACATGCTCTGTGTGCACACATGCACATAGATGTACACACATGTACACACAGTTGGCCCTTGTATATATGCTCTATGGAGTACACAGTATACACACACACAGATACAACATACAGATGATGGGTCTGCATGCATTGACATATGGCACCCCTCCACACCCATAGCTTCCACATCTGTGGATTCAGCTAACTGCAGGTCAAAAATACTTCAGAAAAAAAGGTTGACGCTATCTCTCAAAGGCTGAGGGCCGTGGAGTGCTGTTTCCACAGAATCCCGTCATCTGTGGTATTCTAGTCACCTAGAGATGGTTTAGTGTGGACAGGAGGGTGCATGTGGGTGTGGGCAGGTACCCCGCCATTTCACACAAGGGCCACGAGCATCTGCAGATTTTCCATGGCCGCTGGGGGTGGTCCTGGAACCAGTTTCCCGCAGACGCTGAGGGACAACTGTGTATAGAAACCCTGGTGGCACAGTGGTTAAGTGCTCGGCTGCTAACCAAAAGATTCTCCCATCCTCCATGGGAGGAAGATGGGGCAATTGGCTTCCAGAAAGACTGACAGCCTGGGAAACCCTATGGGGCAGTTCTACTCTGCCCTGTAGGGTTGCTGTGAGCCAAAATCAACTCAATGGCAGTGGGTTTTACACATGTATGTGTGTGTGGAGGCATGCATGTATATATGTATAAAAACACTTCTGGTGGTGGAGTGGTTAAGGCATTTGGCTGCTAACCAAAAGGTCAGTGGTTCAAACCCACCAGCTGCTCTACAGAAGAAAGATGGGGCAGTCTCCTTCCGTGAAGATCAATAGCCTTGGGAACCCAGTGGGGTTGCTGTGAGTCAGAATCAGTGGGTTGGTTCTGGTGAGAGGGCGATTTCCGGTTTACAGAAGAATTAACTGCAGAAAGCACAGGTGCCCATTACCCCTCCGTTCTGCACAGACCCCACTGTTGTTAACATCTTACTTGTTACTGATGGACCGGTATCTAGGCATTATTACTAATCAGAGTCCACAGTTCACATCAGGCATCACACTTTGTATCACACAGGCCTGTGGGCTTTGGCAAGGGCGCCCTGTCCCGTGTCCCCCAGGACAGTGTCTGACAGTTCCACTGCCCTCGGAATGCCCTGTGTCCCACCTGTCCGCCCCCGCCTCTGGCCCCCACCTTGTCGCTGCCTCCGCAGCTCTGCCTCTCCCACAGTGCGCTATCACTGGGCTGACACCTACACACCTTCCCAGGTGGGCCTGTTTCTCTCAGCGCTGCACGGTCAGGGTCCCTCAAGAGCTCATTTTCTGTGGCTACGTAACACTCCGCTGCATGGACGGGAAGGAGCCTGGTGGCATAGTGGTTAAGCACTCAGCTGCTGAAAGCTCAGTGGTTTGGAACCACCAGCCCCTCCACAAGAGAAAGATGAGGCAGTCTGCTTCCTAAAGATTTTCAGCCTTGGAGACCCTGTGGGGCAGTCCCACTCTGTCCTCTAGGGGCGCTGTGGGTCAGAATGAACTCCACGGCAGTGGGTGTGGTTTGGGCTTTGCTTCTGTGAAGACTGACAGCCTTGGAGACCCTGTGGGCAGTTCCACTCAGTCCTCTAGGGGCGCTGTGGGTCAGAATGGACTCCAGGCAGTGGGTGTGGTTGGGACTTTGCTTCTGTGAAGATTGACAGCCTTGGAGACCCTGTGGGCAGTTCCACTCTGTCCTCTAGGGGCGCTGTGGGTCGGAATTGACACAATGACATAGATGTGCCTTCTGTATATTTTTGGTTCCTGGGGGTTCTTTAAGGAGCTCTGGTGGCGTAGTGCCTAAGGCATTTGACTGCTAACCAGAAGAGTTGGTGGTTTAAACCCACCAGCTGTTCTGCAGAAGAAAGGGCAATCTCCTTTCTTAAAGATTTGCTGTCTTGGAAACCCAGTGGGGGTTGCTCTGGGTCAGAATTGACTTGAGGGCAGTGGGTTTTCTTTGTTGTTGTTGTTTGGGGTTCTTTGAATGTCCCCCACATTCAAATGCCTCCTGTGTCCATCCCTCTGGTCTTTGTTCATGTTGTTCTCTCACACCTTCCTGAACATTTGCCTGTCCTCCAAGCCTGTCTTCTTTCGTCTCTTCTGGAATGCCTTTCCGGAAAGCCCCCCAGCGTGCTGTATGATGCTGTCGCCTGTCTTCGGTAATGTGGTCTGTCCCAGAAGCACAGTCTGCCCCTCACCCATAAACTGCATGGACAACATGCTGTTATACCGTGCCTTCCACGTGTGTTCAAGACACGGGACACTGGGCATCCATGGAGACACGCTCAGCAGACTTGCTCTTCGAGCCTCATGTCTGCTTTCTCGTGCCCTAGGAGAGACGGGGTGCTGGTGAGCCCCAGGAGGCCAACCGTCGAGAAGATGGCTCTGCGCAAGCCCTCACCCCTGCGCGCCGCTCACCGGCGCATGGTGGTCAGCATGCCCAACCTGCAGGAGATCACGGTTCCGGAACTGCCTCCCAGGAACTCCTCGCTTCGGACCGCCCCGCCCACCAGCTGCAGCAGCAGCGGGAAAGGTGACAGGTCGCCGCGTTTCCGAGGTGCTCTCTCCGCTGTCTGATTCCAACAAGAAGCCACACCTCATCTCAGGAGGGAGGGACTTCCGAGACAGCTTACTCGTTTGAATATTTATTTTGCAAACTGTGTTTATTATTTCTGTCACCCAGTGCCGTTGCCAGGGGTGACAGCTGGAAGCAGCTTTGGTCTGTGTGACCCACACAGTCTGTCACCCACACAGTCTGTCACCCACACAGTCTGTCACCCACACAGCCGTCACCCACACAGTCTGTCACCCATACAGTTGTCACCCGGTGTTGCCAGGGGTGACAGCTGGAAGCAGCTGTGGTTTGTCTGACCCACACAGTCTGTCACCCACACTGTCTGACACCCACACAGTCTGACACCCACACAGTCTGACACCCACACAGTCTGACACCCAGTGCTGTTGCCAGGGGTGACAGCTGGAAGCAGCCGTGGTCTGTCTGACCCACACAGTCTGTCTTGTTATCTGCCATCATCCTCATGTTGAGGGACGTTGGGCTGTTTGCCTCAGGGCCCCTCTCCGAGCAATTCTGTTCGTTAAAGTGTGAGAAGCAATGGGTGGCAGGTGCAGTGCCCTGCATGGCTCCTGGTGGCCTCAGGTACCACATCACTCCTCCCGTGACTGTGCCAGCGAGGCTGTGTGGGCAAGTGAGGGGCCACGCTGCCCAGACTCCTCAACAGCAGAGTGCTGTGGCCCGGAGCGACCGAGTGCCCGGAGGCGGCGGCCCACGCCTCACAGCCTGCAGCGCCCCCTGGCTGTGTGGTGGTTGCTTCCTGCCGCGCCCTGGGCCGGCGTTTCCACACAGTGCCCTGTTCTCTGCACTCTGCACACGGTAGCCGCACCAACTCTGGGCTTGTCTTGGCTCTGTCCTCTCTGCACCGTTGGGCCCCCAGCTCCTGCTGCACCCCTCACGGCTGAGACCCTGCCTGCCTGTGGGCTGGCGACCTCATGTGAGGCTCTGTGGTCTCCAGCCCAGGGAGCTTCTTGGAGATGATGACCCCAACGCCCAGATGGTGCTGAGCACCCAGGAGGTGGGGGACCAGCCTGACGGCAGCTAACGAAACCACAACAATGATAAAATGTACCATTTCCAAGTGTGCGATTTAGGGACACGAAGCACTTGCACAATGTTGTGAACACACCTCACCAGCTGTTGGTTCCAGAACACTTTAATTCCCCCTAAAGGAGACCCCTGCCCACTGGCTGTCACTCGCCCCCCCGCCTGCTGGCAGCCTCAGATCCACTTAGTGCTTCTGTGCGTTGGCCTAGCTGGACATTCCATACAAAGGACACTGCACGGTACGTGGCCTCACGTGTCTGGCTGACTTCACTCAGGGCTGTTGCTTTATCTTGCGATCCAAGGCATGAACCAGGAGCCCTTGTGGCACAGTGGTTAAGCACCCAGCTGGTAACCAAAAGGTTGGTGGTTCCAGCCCACCAGCTGCTCCTTGGGAGAAAGATGAGGCAGTTGGCATCTTAAAAGATGTAAGCCTTGGAAACCCAATGGGGCAGTTCCACTCTCTCTTCTGGAAGTGCTGTGAATTGGAATAAGCAGGTTAGGGTCTTGAGCACACATACAAAAGAAGAAAAAAAAAACACTCACTGCCATCGAGTTGCTTCATGGGCCTTAATAAATGGAGGTGGCATGGCCCATGTTTATTGTTAAGGTCTGTGCTAACTGTGTTTGTTTTCCTTAATTTTTTAGTTCTGAATGTGGCCCCTAAGTCAACCTACACGTTCAAGATTCCAGAAATCCACTTTCCCCTGATGGCTCAGTGTGTCCACACCTACTACACGGACTTCGTTGACCTGCTGAGTAAAGCCATGGGCCTCCTGGGCCCGGACGACTCGGTGCTCCTGGCCCGCTACTTCTACCTGCGTGGGCTCGTGCGCCTGATGCAGGGGCAGCTTCTCGGCGCCCTCCTGGACTTCCAGAGTCTGTACAGGACCGACATCAGGATCTTCCCCACTGACCTCGTGAGGAGGGCGGTGGCGTCCATGTCTGCCGCCGAGCGCGCCCAGACCGAGCAGACCCCCGAGCTGAAGAGGCTCATCCACGAGGTCATGGATAAGCCCGGGGAGGTGGCCAAGGCTGACGACCGCGTGAAGAACTTTGAGCTGCCCAAGAAGCACATGCAGCTGGAAGACTTTGTGCAGGCGGTTCAGGAGTCGGGCATCGTGAGGGACACCAGCACCATCCACCGTCTGTTTGAGGCGCTGACCGTGGGTAAGGGCGTGAGGTGCACTTCAGTGCTGCAAGGCGGCGGGTCAGTGGCGTGGTGCGTCCCGCAGCCCAGGCACGGTGGGGAGCGCGAGCCGTCTGTGCTCCCGCACGGTGCGCCGTCACAGCCCCACGGATTCCGCATTTACGCATCCACCTCCTCACTCAACCATCTGTCAGCCTCAGATGTGCACTGGTGGCACCCGTGTGCCTCTGTGGTCCTCACGGGCAGGCTCAGAGCAGCAGGGCACACATCCCAAACTCTGCCCCGTGGCTGCGGGCGAGCCGGGCGGCACTGGGCCTCGTGGCTGCCCCGTAAACGTGCTTTCGGGGCAGCACTAAGCTGCAGACTTGTGCTTTGGGTTGGCGTTTTGTGGTTGTAAAAGGCCCCCACGTGCAGTGCGGGAGGCGGTCTGGGTTGCAAAGCACGAGGAGGCTGATGTGAGCTTGCTGAGGACTTGTGTGCGAGGTGAGCACTCTCAGGTGTGTGTGACAGCCCCTCACGGGGTTCAGCGTCAGTGACCAGCGCTGGGTGTTAACCAAGGGGCCTTTAAGCAGATGCACGAGACAAGGTTGCGTGTCGGTCAGTTGACAGAAGTGTTGTGACCAGAGACTCCAGAGCCCAGCCCTCCGGGTCCCCTGGAGCAGTTCTTGGTGGGCACTGATTGACTGGTTGTGGCGACTTGACAGAGCACGGCTCTGGTGAACGCTGGGCATCGACAGCTTTCCATCAGCTCCGGTTGATTGATCGTAAGGTCAGTCTAGTCACAGTCACGCTCTTCGCTCACCTCCGTGTGCTGCGCGTTGGAAATGCAGGTGTGAGAGACACAGCCTCTCCGGCAGCAGCGTGGGTGGAGCATGCTCTCCAGGACACCTTGGGGCACACAGTGCCACCTGGTGAGGGGGCTTGGCAGAGTCGTGTAAAGTGGGGTGGCCTTGGCCCTGGCCTGGCGGAGGGGAGACGAGAGCAGCTCGTAGGGAGCCATTGTGCAGCGGCACTTGGGTGTGTACCTGTTGGCCTGGGTGTGCATGGGGTTGTCTGTGTGACGTGCATCTAGGCCCTGAGTATACATGTGTTGGCTAGGGGTGTGAGGTCACCCTGGGTGTGTGTGTAGCTGTGGGGGTGTGAAGTGTGTGTAGCTTCGGTGGTATGAGGTCACCCTGGGTGTGTGTGTCTGCTGGGGTGTGAGGTCACCTGGGTCTCTGTATAGCTGCAGAGGTGTAAGGTCACCCTGGATGTGTGGCTACAGGGGTGTGAGGTCACCCTGGGTGTGGGTCTGCAGGGGTGTGAGGTCACCCTGGGCGTTTGTGTAGCTGCAGGGGTGTGTCCTCTGATGCTTTCTGGAGCCCTGGTGGTATGAAGCTCACAGGCTAGTCGAGTGGGTGCTGCCCTATGTTGAAGGGCCCTTCTCTGTCCCTGCTCTCCCCTGTGGGATGCTCTGGGGTCTGTGGCCTGGCTCCCTGAGAGCATGGTCGTCCTGTCACATGCAGTCCTCATGGCCCTCTGTTGGTGAGAGGTGGCACTGCAGGTTCTGGGATGTGGCCCTGGGTGGCTCTTCAGCAAGTCCGGGTGGCCCTGGGATGAGGTGGGACGGGCCTCACGCGGGCCCACCCTCAGGAGTGGTGTGTACTGGGCCATGCCCCGTGGTCCCTGCCCTTCGGCATCCATTTCCATGTTTCCTGGGCTTGTCCTTGTGCGGCTTGCTGTGTTGTGTGCAGCTAAGATGACAAGTGCTTCAGGTCAAAACGTGTTCCCTGTGTACACGGGGCTACGTAGTTCAGGTTCCCAGAACCAGAGCCTGCTGCCCCGGGAGCAGCCGGGGAGTGATTTTGTGAGGCTGGCAGGGACCTGACGCCCCCTGTGCTGCTGGGGCAAGGGGACCCCAGGAACAGCCTCCAGGGGTCACCAGGGCCACCCCCAGGAGCACCCAGCCACCTCCTTCTTCAGTTTTTTCACGAACTTGTTTTCCAAAATCGCACAAGTGTCTGTGGCTATTGTTAGTTGTCATGGTGACCTGAAGTACCCCAGAACAGGACAGCGCTCAGCCCGCGCCATCCTCACGCTCACTGGTCTGTTCTGATGAGTGTGTTTACTCTCACACACGTACTGCTGTGTGTCTCTTGTCTGTGAGCACAGTGACCCAGGTTTCCACAAAGCATTTACGTGGTACATGATCATAAACGGACGGGGAAAACAGGGAAGTGAGACAGTGAAAGCTTACTCGCAGCCGCCACCTGGTGACGACCCACGCGGCCCGCCACCTGGTGACGACCCACGCGGCCCGCCACCTGGTGACGACCCGCGCGGCCCGCCACCTGGTGACGACGTGCGC